TATATATATAATTCTGCTGTACCTACGTGTGCATGTCATTGAACTCCTCCTAAAATGCTTGACCGATTTAAATGAATTTTTCTGTATGCGTTTGTGTGAAACCCTGGATGGCTTAGGTTCACAAATCAGCCCGGCAGATGGCGCTGCAGCCGGTATCTAGGTTAGTTATCCTAAACGGCTGAACTCATTTGAATGAATTTTTGTTTATACATTCAAGTGGATATGCAGGACAACGTCTGTCGGGTCCGCTAGTATTATATAAATTTTGGATTGTGAATACTACTACCTACATAAGTGGTGTAGCCATCAGCCAGTCTACACTAAAAATAAGCTCTTTTATTCGCTTTATATTGAGCAATTCTTTTTTATTACTATTAGTACCTAGGTAGTACTATATTTCGTTATGGAACCAACAGCGACGCACGGTCTAAATCTACACCTTTTTATATTTTTTCCGTCGTTTATTATTACCTTATTATGTGTTTTTAGTGCATGTGCACCTTGCCTTACCCTTGCAATGAATGAAATATAGTTACGGACGTAAATTATCATAAAAATAGTAAAGAATAAAACGATACCAAAGCTGTTGGCAACAACAATACAAGACAAACAGCCTCAAACAGGTTGTTAAGTTCAACACTCCACGGGCACAACAATCGATTACGTATCGAAAATCGATTATTTCCCACGCTTCGGCTTATCTTTCTTAGAAAAAACATAATTTTTGTACAACTAACTAACATTTATTTACATTTAAAATCTACTTTATTCATTGAAGTATATTATGTATGTTGGTGGTTGGTGGCAAACTTGCAAATGTACCTAAATGCTGAACAAGAAATCTTGAGTTGGATTTCCCAATCGGGTGTTCTTTACCCATTCTTGGAGCCAACAGCACGGAGACTGAGATTTTGTAGGATTCATAACATAACAAAGCGAGTAAAAAGTGGAGATTACGTTACCTATCTATAATTTTTTTTTTATCGCCATGGAAATCCTCACGGACTTTCCACGCCGTTGGGACGACGGGGGGGTGTGCCGGACTCTTACCGGCTAAAACCACCGCGGAGTTCCTCCTCTGCCTGTGGCCGTGGCCCGGGACGCCCTTGCGGATTCACCGCACCACCTATCTATAATATGCCACAACTCTGTTTATCCAATTGGAGATTAAAAGAAAACGTTAGATATGTGTTGTTTCAATATTTTTGTTGCTGTAATTTTCTTCGCATTTTAATTTATTTCTGCAAACAAATTAAGATTGATTCATGTCATTTAAAACAGCTATATCTATCTAATTGATGATACCTACGTCAATGATTGAAAGTTATTTTATTTATGAGATTGTGAAACTCTTTGTAAATTATGTTAGTACCTAGTTGATTGACACATTATTTTTTCAAATGATTTATAAAAAACCCCTTTTACTTTACTTAATACAAACATGAGACAAAACATAATTGGTATTGTTCTAATGTTAGAGGAATTTCGATTTAGAAAAAGAACACGACCTAATATGGTTTTATCCTCGTCATGTTCGGGCGTGACGTCATGGACGTGTCATTTTATTGTTTTTATTTTACATTGTTCTGGAGCCAGGTAATATTTGTAAAAATAACATGATATTTTTCCTTTCATTGACGTGTCTTTTGTTTTATTTTGCTAACCCCGGCTTACATTGAAGTATTAACTAGGCGATTTATCCAACGAATATCGTCACAGGTACCTAAATATTACGTACTAAGAAGCACCCTTATAAAGGCAAAATCTATTATCTAGCATAGGTACACCGTACACGATTCTGAACACCATGCACCTGCAAAAATAAAATTTTGATATCGTAAATAATGCATTACCCGTCGGTGTTCACTCACGCTTGCAATCACCAGACCAAGAAGCCATTATTTTCATTTTCTGAAATAAAACTAGTTTAACTTTAAACTAGACAGGTTATAAATTAATATTAAATTGACATTATTACATTTACCTAAGAAGTTAAGTTCCAAGACGGTAATAATTATAGTTATATCTACTTAAGCTACTTATATCTGTACAATAAAGGCCTGGGAATACGATAAGGTACCGTGGGAGTGTGCGACCGACTCTAATCTCTAAATTAAGGAAGTGTTAATTTGTTAGAAGATACTGCAAACGACTTGATTAGACATATTATGAGATGAGAGTTCCGCATCACACTGCAATTACGACGCGAGATTGAAAACTAATGGACATGATTTTGTAGCTGAACGCATTGAGATTATCATTGTAATTTATAATCATTATGTTTATCTGAGTTTTAATGGAGCAATGCAAATGGTACCTACAGCATTTAGAAATATGAGTTTCTGATAGTTTCTCATTTCAACAGAGGCAAGTAAATTACGTTTGGATGTTTTAGACTAAGTAAATTCTGAAATCCTAATGCTGCGCTATCATCGTAATAGACGATTGACAAATGTGTTCTAAGTTATGTAATAGAAAACGAATGAACTTTAAGTTCATCACCAAGGAATTTTCGTAGGCCACTATTTCATTGTTTATAATGTGTGACTGCTTCCAACAACTGGTCTACATAATGTATATTGTTGGTTTAAATAATAGACGTGGTTTTAAAAAGAATTAGTGTAATGAAATGCACTTCTGTGATACATCCATACTCAAGCAGACAACGACGTAACGAAACCGTTTGAAACGCGGAATCAATTAGTTCCCCGAAACAACTCTTCACGCCCAATAACCAGAGTAAAACCGTTTTAGAAAAAAAAACCGTTTAACAGTCTGCATCAAAATTTACATACAAGCAACTGAGAGATAATCTTTCTTCGTCCGAACACCGGACGTTTCCGCACGAAGTTCTACGCCAACGGTCAAATGAATGACCCTCGCACTTTACCGAAAATGGTGTTCAACCGACACACTTCTACACTGTAGGTATAATCCAATACATATCTGTAAGTTAAAGAAAGGTGCACGTCCAGTATTGACTCAGCAATGTATATTGTACGATTCTTGATAATACCAGAGCAGTTGGAGCATGAACCGTGATAAAGTGTATAAAATCGACTTACTTTCAACGACGCCGCATCACCCGACCTCACGTTCACGGACCAAATGATGTGGTATGGTTCGCTTCATTTACAAAACCGCAACCACACTCATAATCCTCGTCAACTACGCTATTCCCATCTTGATACTTTGAAAGTCAAACGATCACTTTATAACGTACAGTTCTGTGTTAAAGTAACTGTAGTGACTGGGGTGTTACTTATTCATCGACTCCCAGTTTCCTGTTTAGGTTTTAGGTCCTTGTGAACTACTGAATGTGAACGTCTCTCACATTATGTGGTGTGTACCTAGTTCCGTAGATCACATTTTCCCAAAATATTAAGTAAATCCATGAAAACCCATTAAAAACCACATACATTTAAAAAAAACGTACCGACACAGCTTCAGAAATCATTAATTGCTACAACCTGATGTTTTCATCGCGTAAAAAATTAAATACAATATTATTTTCTCGACATCCGATGAGCTTTTCCTCGAGATAATCGCGACCAGTTTCGTTGTGGTCAACATTGATCGCTTCTAAGCTATCATTACACTGATTTCTGAAATTATCTGCGTTTAAGCGATATCCACTATCGATATAAGCTTAGATCATCGGCATTAGTTTACAAAAAATGGTGGCCTCGCGAACGCTGTGTTACTTTCTTGGAAAATTCACACAATGTTGAAAAAGCTATAGACAGACCACATGTACTAGGCATCTAGATATACCTATATTAAAATCAAATCATGTACAAAAAGTAGACCGTTTTGTACGTAGTATTTAACAAAAATATATAAATCTTTTATTATAATGATAAATAACTTATTAGGTAAGTACTAATTTAGATAGGACCTTATGTATATCTAGTAGCATAAATCGAAATTTGTACGTACGTAAACGTTTTCAATTAATTAGTAATACCTAATTGCGTAATAACTCAGTTTTATTAATTAAGTGTAATGAATAAGTTTAATGATTGTTTATTCACTCATAAAGAACATAACATGGTTCACTTACAATGAGATTAAATGACAAATTATAGCTAGGTATACAGAGTTATGACCAAACGGTATTAATAAATATTTTCAGGCAGGTACATATTTTCTTAACCTATTTTTGAACATGGCAATCGACTGACATTCCTTAATATTATTTGGCAAATTATTATACAATTGTATACATGTATGTAGTATAAAAAATGAATGACACTTCTAGTTGCAAAATACAATATTACATAGGTATAATATTTTATTCCCGAAGGGGTAGGCAGAGGTGCACATTATGCCACTGCAAGTACAATGTAACACCCACTTTTCACTATATATGTTATGGGTCCCATGTAATAGGGGGTGAGCCTATTGCCATATACCGGGCACAATTCCAGACTCCGTGCTACTACTGAGAATTTTTAAAAACCCAGTAATACTTTGTCCAATCCGGGAATCACACCCGAGACCCCTTGCCTGGTAGTCGCACTTGCGACCACTCGGCCAACGAGGCAGGCGAAATAAACTACGTATTTATTAAAAGTAAAACATACCCACTTACATAGTCTGGTAACGGCAAAGTACAAAGAATCACCCTAACTTCTTTAAAAGTACCCACAGAGCACCAGAACTCGAAAAAGGGTATAACTTTGATGTTTAAAATCACTTTAATAACACGCAATTCGACCGGAATGTCGATTAACTTTTACTCTTCCAACACATCAGATAAAGGTTTATTGATATATTTAACAATGGCACTGCAGGACTATTGCGATAGCCATCTGATACACGAAGTATGTTCTACCGAGTCCCACATAGATCTGTTGGAGATTAGCTTCAGAGTGTTAGTGAACAATGTGAAAGGAAATTCGTGTATGTGTCTAACAATACCTACATTCAATTAACCTCCTAATTGTTTGATGGCGTGTTCGTCTTCCTTCCTACAAATTGAATGCTCATTGTTACAGTTCCGAGCAGCATTCGCACAAGACTACGATGGTACGTATTCACCGTTATTCACTCTTTTATACGTAGTATAGTCTAAACTAAATGCCTCTAGAACATTTGTGTCAAGGCTTCCAATTTGATAAAAGGTCAAAATATTAAAATCTTAACCAAAATAGATGAGGAAATCGTCTTAACTATCGTCTAAGACAATTTTTGAATTAATCAACAACATTTAATATGACACTTAATACATAACTATTAAAGTAGTCATAAATTAACAAGAACAAAAGGTGCATCTAAGCGTAGACAAGTAATAACTAACTTAACCGTCCGTAATGGCAAAGAACTATAATTACCTCAATAACGAAAACTCGTAAGTGGTTAACAACTGTTCGTCAGATCGAAGGGGAAATCTCTTTGCTTTCTACCATTTTGAACAAATGGAATAATTGGCAGACCAGTTTGTTCAATGTCTGGATCGTAGATCACTACCCAATGTAGATACCGTAGTCGTAACCGTGGGTTCGATACTTCGATTTCGACAAGGAATAAAAACGACACAGGAGAAAATACATAATGCCAATCTTTAATTTTTTAATTTCTTCCGACAAATGAGTTAATGCTAAAAAAGGAATCCACATAAATTGTAATTATTGTATATTTCAGTGACGGACATTCAGTGCACATTTGCGAGCGGGGGAACAGGGTTAAGAGATTCAGTGGCAGCCTTGTTAAGGAAACCAGAAGGATTTCGAGGAGCACCCTTATTCGCTGATGATAGGGCAACGGACCCTGTAACAGATCCTGTATGTCAAATAAGGCCTGAACCAGAAGATCCGACCGGATTACTCTACAGGCTACGGATCACAGATTTCACAAGATGTGGCGTACTGAAACGAAACGTAAGTCATTTTTTGAAAAGGTCAATGTCAGCAATGCAATCTCTTCCTCCCACTTGTCATTTAATAATACTTTTGCCTTGTAAGATCTTTTTGAATGTTTAATTCCAATGTTATTATAAATCAAAAATGAAGGTACCTACTATTCTTTATTCTACTTAACATAACATTTTTACAGACTTTTCTATAGTGTCTATATTTGAAACTGGAAGATAACAAGAAATTATAACGATCTTTGCACAACTCTGACAAAAACGATTGTTCTCGAGTTTTACCTCAATGTATTAATTCTAAGTTTTTAGGATTTAATCTATATTAGATAGGTAGACTTCGTGGTTAAGTATTTGATTTTGTAGTTAAGATGTTTGTAATCTAGATGTGCGACGTTTCGACTAGATTTACTTCAAGCTACCTTGTGCGTAGTGCTAAAGAGTGGAATTCTTTGCCAGAGTCTGTATTTCTTGAAGGGGACCTGGGAGTCTTCAAGGCCCGGGTGAATAGGTTGCTTATGGGACGACGTGCTCCATCGTAGACCGCATCGTCGCTTACCATCAGGCGGGATAGTGGTCAAAAAGAGATTAAGTCCAGAATAGTGCAAAATCTCAATACCTAATGATATGACTAATTCTACCATAAAATCGGACTGGAAACTCCACAGTCGAACCTACTTGCCGCCAGTAGCTTAACGAGGCAGACAAAATTACCATTTCACAGCTTTTGTATTCATCTTCACACATTAAATTAAACTGTTTAGCATTTCGAACATTAGGCGTTGAGTATATTCCGGAGCAGTTTGCTGGTGCTGTACCGTGCGAAATAGTGCTATTGTTCGTCAAGTTAGCGTTAAGTTTCGTGCAGTCGCCCGCCGCATGCATATAATGATAACATAGACTGGGTGTTGTGTCATCAACAGATAATAACGTATTCCGTTACTAACAGTAGAGGTTTGCAAGTGGCCTACACAACGAGCCCCTCAGCTGATATATTATTAACCGCCGAGACCGGTACAGTATTGAGGTAAAGAGAAATCTAAACCACGTGTGTCAATACGGGAGTATTGCATCGATTGAATACAATGCATGCCACTTAACACGATACTGACATTCCCAATAATTGTGACGTTCGATCTAGATCTAGGTTAAAGAAATCAGATGGATCTTTGTTCACTTTTACAAATTAGAATGACAAACGACAATTGCAATCTGCTCAGGCAGCAAGTTTACCTACATGTACATCGTTTAGCAACAATTTACCTTAAAGATTGGTATCTATTAGGAATTTAAAATTGTGAGACATTTTCCCTCTTCAATAAATCTACAAAACAGTACGACATTCATTCACTTCGCCAAATGCATTTAAATAATTGCTCATTCGTTTAGCAAAAGAATTTTCCTGCATATTTACAAATACGTAGCCGGGAAAGTACTCAAGTAGTCCAGGTAGTATCGTATCGAACTGGTTTACCTGTTTGCCTATAAATACCACAATAATTCATTTCTCTTGCCCTCGGCCACCGGGTAACTGGCTTCGGATAAATTTACACTCGTTTTCCAGCGAAATCGACTGAGGTCTAATGACCTATGTTCAATGAATTATAGCTTATATTTGTGTGCTGTTCCCTCACATAACTATTTGACTAATGCGGGATATTGTAAACTTTTAATTTTCCTAGTAATATTTCCTTAGATCTCTATGTTCAGCATATTATATGTATATAGTTGAGTTTCTAATTGGAAAGAAGACTTAACTTTACTTAGGTAGTCTATGCAAACTAAAACTAGATAATTACTTAGCATTAATTGGCTGTAGCCTCACGATTATAGTGCTGAAAGTAATTACCTATTCATTATGCTCTACTGTTTATGAATGTGCGCAGCGCGATACAAAATTTATTGTTTAATTGCAATTATCTACCTCGCTGGCCCGACGCGTTAGCCTAGAAAACGCAAGTTCTGCCGTAGTGGGTCTTGGTCAATGTCAGGCAAAACGAGGTTCGTTCAGTTTCACTACGAGACATATAAAATGTTACTAAAATAAAGGCAAAACAGTTGTAGTAGGTAGTTAGTAGATTTTGTAGTCATTACACGTTTCGGACAGAGGCTGACTTATATTATTATATATTTTTCTAAAACAGGGATTTGTCCACGTACGAGTATGGTTCCCGCAATTCCCTGGTGTGGTGATGCAGTCAGATCAAGAGCTGATAATAATGTGCAAGCCTCCAGAACCAACCATCATTGAGAACAAGGCAGCGGGGTTCGCTGGCAGCTTGTAAGTAGCTAACATCATAACTAAAACGATCCCTTCTACTTTACACTACTTCATAAACTGGTTTGAAATACAAAATAAATTTTGTCACAGATAATAAGTAGTTTTGGAATTAGCATTTAGGTGAATGAACTTTCCTTGTTGTTTTAAATAACTATAAAATGAATTAATTATATAAGAACAGGAAAATGTTGCATTAGGTACCTACTTACTCGCAACCCGTCCCCGTACCATTCAGATGGTATTTCCTCTCTCGATAATTTTTTTTTTCATGAGACGCAAATTTTATCCTCCCCATCTCGAGTTTGTGCTTCGTATCATAATTTTGGAACTATAATAAAATGCCTGCAGCCCTCACGGCGCGAGGGTGTCAGGAGTGGTGGAGGAGACTCCAGGCCGCTTGGAGTACGAGGTGGCGCTGTACAAGGAGGCTCCGCCCGTTACCAGACATAACAACCACTCCGTTGACTTGCCTGTTGATCAGGTAACTGGTGTACGTTGTTTTTCTTCAGTTTTTCTTCTATACTGCCAATTAACTTATTGATAAATTTAATGAGACTTCATGTAATCGAAAATTGAAAACTGTGGTAACAAGTATTTTTTTTATTGTTTCCTTTGATATGTCATCAGTAAATAAAAGATGATTCCGATCAATGACGAACTTCATACATAACCTATGTATGCAAACCTATGTAAAGAAAACATATTTTATACCTAAAAGATTCCTGAGACTTATCTATGTACTTATAAATAAATAATATTGAACCGTTAATCGTGAAGGCGGTACCAATCGGCACGAAGCTCCAGTTGCGCGCGCGCATCAACCCAGACTCGGCGTGGCGGCACATCAAACTGCTGGAGGTGGCCGTCTCGCCTGACCCTGATCGACCACACGCGCCCGGCGCCGTGCTACTCGTCAAAGATGGGTAAATAGCGCAAAAATCGAAATTCTTATTTTATTTTTTGTTGCGAATAAGGAAAATTCTTAAAAAATTGCTACTTGGTAGTTTTGGTTGGATAACAACAAAATAGTGTTACAACATCATTTCTTCTGTTCTCGAAATGGTTTTCACACCTTACCTTGACTATCAAATTTAATTCTAAATCAAACAAGTTAGTCCAGACTATTTCTTTTTAGACAGAAGTAGGCTACACTTATCTAGGCACTAAGTACTATCTAATAAGTTATCTAACATAACCCAAACTTCTTGTTAATTTCCATATCAAAATTCTTTCTCTAACAGTTGTCGAAATCGTGACTTCGCCTCGATAATCCCGCACCAGCCAGCTCGCTACCGAGAGAGACATAACGAGGTGTTCCTAGACTTTGAAGCATTCCTACTCGCTTCCATGAAGGAACGCTCCACGCTCTGGATTCACTCGCAAATCAAGGCTTGCATGGACGCTGCTGACTGTCAACCAGACTACTGTTTGGACTTATTTGAACCATCAGGTAACTTTATTATCTAAATTTTAATTTAGTGTATGTTTTAGCTATTGGGCCACCAAGTGAAATGAATTACCGATTTAAATAATCGGCAATACACTAATATGTAATAGAGTTATTAAATACTTTAAATACTTCATCCACTAAAATGTAGAGCTATCACTTCGATACAATCAGAAAAATGTATGTTTATGTTTTATTTCACACAAGCCACATCAAACCAATGTCATGTGATAGGAACCTCTACTATAATAGTCGTAATAAGTATTAAATGTAAATGTAATTATATATTTATTTTATAGGCCATGGTCGTCGACGAAGATCGCTGGCTGAGGGTTCCCACAGCCACAACATCACGAGTTCGGCATTAGTGGCTGACAACTCTACGACTCCATTCACACGGTTTAAAGAGAACTTGGAATACTCAGTAGTGATGCCTGGGGAACTATTCCATAGAACTCCTATAGAGGCCACGTGCGCTACGTCCATGATGGTCGCTGTTGCTTTAGGAGCACTTCTGTTCATGTCTGCTTTGCTAGTAAGTGTTTTATTTTCTGTCATATGTTCGCCCCCCCCCTCCCCCCCTTGTTACACGACACCCATAGTCATGATAATAAATATATGTATAGCCGAGTAGGTACAAATATCATTGTTGTATGACATGAGACTAGTATAGCAAATGGCGAAAAGGAGATCCATGACAGGAACCGAAGTTTTTATATGAAAAGGAAATATGATGTACCTAACTACTCGGTCCATGTAAAAGAAATAGCTAAAGAGTCAAGTAAAAAGTGTTTCAATCACTACTAATATGAACTGCAAGTAATTGTACAAAGTTCTGTATAATAAAAATAAACCAGTTACCTATATGGTTATGGCGGACTTAATTGATTTTAGTCGCTATTCTTTATGATCATTTAGTTTTTCCATTTACGGAAGGCATAATTGAAGAATCATGAACAAATTATGCCGCATTCCGGCGAAAGTACCGTAACAAAGTATAAGATGACTCTCTAGTAGTTCCTTTTCAGGGGCTTAACTAGCGCCGTATCTCCCTTTCAATTATAATAATACGGTCAATATTGTAAAGAAACTGTCATTAGGCACCAACAGTCGTAACTCGATAATTTTTGTTGAAGTACAGTCGAAAAACCTTTAAGTACCTAAGTTTTGGTGCAGTTAATAATGTTAGCCATTTTGTTGTGGGGTTCACAGGTTTATAGAATCTAGATGCCTGACAGAACCTAAATAAACAAATGTCCCGTTTTGAGTCAAAAAATAAATGGGCACGTTACTTAGACGTAGCCCTTGATGAGTTTGAGCTGTAAACACCACGCGTGCTCAACTCGTATTGGTGATTTCATACTAATAATTGGAATTATTATAA